GAGACGCTGGCTAGTGACCCGGCCAACGTTCCGCTTCGAGCGCGAGCAGCTCTGGAGCCTGCTCAGCCATTCTCTGGAGCAGTCAGAAGGCTTGCTGCATTCAGCGAAGATTTGTGCTTGGTCAAGACCATCCTCGCTCGCTCAAGAACTAGCTTGCATGCCCTTGCCAAGCAGGGCACCAGCTCGCTGGCTTTATCGCGAGCCGTGCGGACCCTTGCTGCCATCGGCGCTTCTGGAGCACCTAATGGCCTCGACAATGCCGTCAGAGAGCTTGTCTTGGACTCCACCGGTACTGCCGCAAATGTTCTTTGCGCGTCGACCGAGGAGGCTTCGATCGCACCACTGGTCAGTCTCATTGGCTCCCTTCTGCACACTTTCCCAGAAGCGCACGTCAATGCTGAGGAGGGCATCGCCAATGCGTTGGCATCGGCTGCACGAAACGTCTTGCCTCAAGCTTTGCGCGATGCCCATGTGCCGGGCGCCGCAGCGGCAAACTTCTACGCATCTTACTTGCCCCTGGTTCAAGATGGCAACGAGCGCGGAGAAGTTTGGACCAACGCCTTGGAGTCGATCAGTTCGCCTGCTGGTTTGGATGCTGAGGCTTTGGAAGCCCTGTTCTCTGCCGCAGAAACACTTTCTGCTTCCTTACTCAGCGAGGAGAATGTGACCAGCGCGCGTTTGGATGAACAAGTGCTTACACTCGGCACGGCCGTGTTCAACGGCACCGAGCAACCAAGTGGAAGTGAAAGAGCTGTGCTGTCCAGGTTGCTGGATCGACCTCTACCATTCGTGACGCAAGCAACCTCCAATGCTCTCCTTGGTCTCTTGGTCCAAGCATTGGGTTCCCACAGTACCAACGAAGAGAGCAAGCGGCACGCATCTACGCTGCTTGCTCTTCTGGAAGCCTGGTGCACTACGCGAGAAAGATTGCAAAAGCTGGTGTCCGATCCCACACTGCGCCCCGCATCAGCTGCCGTCTTCTGCTTGGCACATCTCGAGCCCTCGCCGGAATATGGAACGGCAGCAACGCGTCTTTGGAATGCCCTGGCAGCTGAGCCTACCGCTGGTGTTGCTGCTGTAGCGCTTCTGCGAGAGCGCATCCTGCAGCCTGGAACATCACTGAGAGCATTGTTGCGAGCTGGTGAGGCATTGCCACCCACAGCGGACGGCAGCTCTCTTCTGTTGTCTGAAGCGGAGCTGGCAAGCTTTTTCACAGAGGCTTGCGCCTCTCGACCAAGATCCGAGCTTGCCGTGCTCGACCCGCTTGTGCCTTATGGCAACGCCGACGACATCAATTCGAAGGCGGCGACAGAAGGCAAGCAAGAGTACGACGCAGCCGGACTGTCGACATATGCTCGCGCTGTAGCTGTCATGATCCAAGTTCTTTCGAAGGCCGGCAAGGGGGCTCGCGCCACTCCGTGGGCTTTGCCGCATCTCATCCTCTTCGCGATCGCTGCGGAAGATGCGACGTCTTTGCATGCTGCTTCGCCCTTCTTCTTCGCCCCCGGCGCTCACACCCAAGCTCTTGCCAAGTATGCTACAGATGCTGTCAGCGTAGCTACCGCCATGATATCTGGCTTGGCTGGCGATCTGGATGACCATTGGCACTTGGGGACAACGGATGCACTTCGAAAGCCTTCTGCAGCTACTAAGGGACTTGCTGCTGCCCTGCATTCGTTGTGGTATCGCAACGAAAGCCAGGCGGCTCGAGTGCTGTCGAGGCTCCTAGCAGGTATCCTTAGCTTCAGCGCTGCGACGGAGGCTGCGGGCATAGCCTGGTTGCGTCTGGCGCAAGGAGCGACTGACTCGAAGCATTCATCTGCAGCTGCTGTTCTCAAAGTCGTCAAGCCGCTCGTGCTTTCCTCGCCAGTCTACGAGCGAGTGCGCAATGAGCTGGCGGCTCGCCTTGCTGGCATTCCACCCACGCGTGTGGAGAAGGAGGGACTGCCGCTTCTTCGACTCCTACTGGCTGCTGCACCGCCAGAGGACGCGCCGGTCGCTCTCGTGCCGCAGCAGCGCGCCATCTTCCTGCTACAAGCGGTGCAGAAATGGTACGCTTCAGACGAGGCCGAGCTAGGGGAGGAATCGTTTGTGCGATTATCTCAAATCTTTTCCGAATTGCTTCCGATTGTGGACAACATGCCCGGCTCCCACCTCGAGCTCATTTTGGACGTGCTCGAGGCGCAGCTGGAGGCGGGTGGCTGGACTGCGGACGGACTGCCAACGACACAGGCTGCGCTGCGACTTTTGGAGCAAGTTCAGCAACGAGCAGCGCGGGCGCAAGCGCTGCGGGAAGTTTGGAACGCGCGACAAGCGGAGGTGCTGAGCATGTTGAGGCCGTTGTTCCTGGACCAACCGCTAGAGTCGGGCATCAACGTTCCTTTGTCCGAGACGACTGCTTTGCTTGCCAGGCTAGTTCGTAGGTTGCCGGACTCGGCATTTAAGCAGGAAGGCGACGAGACGCGCTTGACTACTCTGCTGCAAGCGCCCGACGGACGAGTGCAGCTGACCGCTTATCGACGATTGGCGACTTTTGTGAGATCACGAGTCAGTGATCTGGTCGTGGAGGCGGCAGTGGACCCGACACATGCCGGCAAGGCAGCTGCGCTCTCCGTACAGCTGACCCAACAATGTAGCAGTGCACCAGGTGCCGGCCTTCCTATCGCGGACATCGGTCGCTATGCAGAGGAGGCCATGGAAGAACCTCAGACGACACTGGCTTTCTTCCTAAGTTGGCTTGCTCTCTTTGAGCATTTCGAAGAGGCTAGCCTGGCTCTCAAAAGCGCTTTTGCGGCTCAAATTGAGCAGATGGAACTCCTTTCCAACGGCTTCCTACCTACTACCTTCGGACTGATGCTTCGCAAGGATTCGACTGGAAGACCCTGGGATCCGCGTGGCTGGGCTCTAGACGAAGTCTTCCTTGATGGTGAGTTAATTGCACTCCATTTATCGCCCCGAGATGAAGCTGGAAACGCTCAGCGATGCGTACTTGACGCCGACAGATGTGGATCCATATGCGCCTGGCACACTCCAGCTCCTTGCTGGCCACCTGTTCCACAGAGCGTTGGGCCATCTCGCGGTAGGCGTGCGGAATTACGTCATGTCGATGCGCGACAGGGCGTTGTCCAGCTCCATCACTTCCCTCACGACGCGACACTTTTCTCCTGTGTTGGCTGGGGCCGAGCTGGCTCACCTTCGATCAGGCGATGCGCGATCAACGCTCGAAGGAGAAGGTCTCAGCATCAAGATCACCACTGCCAATGAAGTCGTCGCTACATATACGGTGGACGAGCAAGACATGCAGATTGGTGTCTCTTTCCCCAACGACTTTCCGTTGCATGGTGTAGAGGTGCGAGATATCAAACGTGTTGGGGTCAGCGAGGCCAGATGGCGTTCCTGGCTGCTTGCGACGCAGCAGCTTTTGACTGGCAAGAATGGTCTGGTCTTCGATGGTGAGTATTGTGGGGCGCAGATGGCATCAATTCCAAGCGCTGACGGCCGACGCGACCACTTTCCTCCCCCCTTTTCCCTTTGCCAGCACTCTTGCTTTTCAAGCGCAACGCCGAAGCGATGTTTGCGGGCTACGAGGGCTCCGAATGCGCAATCTGTTACAGCATCATTGGCGGAGAATCTGGCTCGTTGATGTTACCGACGAAAAAGTGCGCGACTTGCAAAAAGCCCTTTCACAGCAGTTGCCTTCTTAGATGGAGCTTGACAAGCGGCTCTAGCACAGTAAGTTTAACAAAGTTGTCTTTCTTGCCGCGAACAGTTCGAGCGGGCAACTTTTCATGCCGCAAATAAACTGATACAGCCTTATTTATCTGTGCAAACGTTTTCAGTGCCCGATGTGCCGCTCCATCCTATAAGTCTATTGTGCCTCCTTGCATGCAGAGCGATACATCCATCCATCTTCAACAATACATGCGCTCAGAGCTCTCCAGAGCATCTCGATCGTCAGAGACAATCCCTTGATCGTCTGAATCTGACGCACCTTCCATTGCACTTGACAATCAAGCATGTCACTTGCCTCCCCCTCACACTGGGTCAGCATCACACCAATGAACCTGTCCGCAACGGCTTGAAAGAGAATCGCGCTTGCTACCTCTTGACACCCATGCTGCCTCCGCACAAAGGCAATCGAAGATCGAGAGGGTCACGTTTCCATCATTTACTGGCGCCTTTCAAGTTGCTCGAACCGAGTGAGGATTGTCGTGCTTCTGCACCGATGGCGCGACGTGGGTGGTATACAACATTCGAGATCCGCAGCCGTGGGGGAGGAGGAAACAGGGTGGAGTGGCTCAAGTGCTCTTTGGAACGCTCTTTTTAAGAGACTATGCGCAAGAGAAAGAGCAAAGCGGGGAAGGTAGGGGGCGCGTCAAAAAGACGAGCAAGTAAGAGGTGGGTCATCTTGAATCCTACAAGGAATGCACATGGATTCTTTGCGCCTCCCAATTCCGCATCATCTGCCCTGATCCGGTGTGGCATCGTGCGCGCTCATTTCGACCCACTCGCTATCGTCGCTAGCTCTGCTTCCAGCTGGAGACCTCTTCCTCGCCGCTGCGGCTGCTGCGGCCGCTGTAGCAGCTGTAGCAGCAGCCGCCGCGTCGTTGGCCGTCGAGGAAGCCGAAGCGGCTTGTCTTGCCGCTTGAGCAGCCGCGCTGTGATTTCCGCCAAAGCTCGAATGAGAAGAATTGGAGCCTGCATAAGCGCCTGATCCGCGCACCTCGTCCCGCTTGTGCATATCTCTCAGCGATCCTCTCGAATCTGCGCTCGATGCTGAGGCTGATCGTCGAAGACGAGGACCTTGTGAACCGACGCGCGGACTGGAAGGCTGCCGAGTATGTCCTCCCTGACTTGTGTTCACCGCGCCTCCAACTCCCGAGGGGTTGACCGGTCCAGACTCGGCGTTGAAGCCACCGAACGAGCTAAAGATCGGGTCACCAGACTTTTCCCCGCCTTTTGAGTATGACGAGTGAGGTGCCAAGGCAGCTTCGGCGGTGCGCGGGCTCGGAAGCGTTCCGTGTGCGTCAGGGTCAGGCAGCTCTGCAGGACTGATGCCTTGGGTCAAAGGCACAACCCAAGTCGCCAGAAATTGCGCAATCGCTTCAAAGTAGCCTGGCTTGACGCAAGTGTCGTTGTGCGTGCCATCTTTGAAGCTCTTCCAGACCTTTTTGCTCGATGAACATCGCTTGAAGAGCAAGTCCATGTGAGAAGGAGGAACGAGCTCGTCAGCCCTTCCACTCAGAAAAAGCACAGGTTGATAGGGCCCAAGCTGCATAATTGAGTCGCCGGTGGGCCAGAATTCGCCTGGGTCGCGTGAGAGGCTGCTTGAGCTGAGGATCTGTTCTGGATTTTCCGTTGCAGTCGCGACTCACGGCAAAGGAACGTGAAAGGCTTGACGGGTGGCAAGACGTGCGGAATCAGCTCGGGAATCTGTGGCACGATCGCAAGCAGGTGCGTCAGTTGAGTGGCGTTGACCTGCATCTACCACACGGCTGTGAGCTCACGCTCAAGAAGCTGAGATGCGGTGAGAGGGTTTTCTGTCAACCAACATGCTTGCACGTCAAATGCCATAATCATGCACTTACGTATTCTCCAGAATCAATGCACTGATCTGCATCGACACATTGGGCGAGGAGGCGGATGACCATCCATCAGCGATCGTTCGTCCCACGCTACAGCCGAGACCTTCGGCGTCCCCATCGTGCACATCACAACCAAGTCGCATGGAGCCTGGCGCTATTCCCAAACGCGATCATGCCCCCAGCAGAGTTGCACAATTCCACGATCAATGCCTTCTTATCCATGCGACTCACCGCTCTTCCTGCCTTTGCAGCCAAGTCCACAGCTACAGCGCCACCGATGCTCTGACCATAAGCCACCACCTGAGTAGCTTTCAGTCTCGGATGACGTTTGATGTAGTTCAAAGCTGTTTGAGCATCTATCCTGATGCCCTTCTCGGATGGCGTTCCCGTCGAGAGACCGTAGCCTCGATACGAGAGCATGAGGACATTGCAGCCAAATCTCTTGAAGAAGACTGCTGCGAGGGGTAGGCGATGGCCCTGCGCGACAAGCCACTATGTGTCAGCATTGATGATCTCTGATGGACAGAAACAGAAGAGCTCGACACGGCGTGTCATGCGAGACTTGTTGGCAGCCATCCGATTGCTTTATACTGCGCAGGTGCTTGGTATCTGGAGCGCATACATCCATCCCAGGCCATTGGTACTTGGCTGCCTCCTGGCGCACCCACTCACCATATTCCCAGCATTCGCGTGCAAGAAGAGGATGGTAGGTCTTCTAGTAGCCACATCACCCTCATCCTCACCTCTCCTCTTCTCCCTCTCCGAAGGTTCGCTCTGGCACATGAGGTACACTCTCAATTCCTGTCCATCCGGAGTTTTCAACCTGACATCCTCGTATTCCAGATCAAACTCGTCGGGAGTCAAGACGTTTGTCCGAGATCCGTTTGGGAATGAGGAAGGGTAGATGAGCGCATTTTGATAGCGGTAGAGAAGACCGGCGGTCACCAGGAACCCCCCAATGAATGTTCCTCCCAACACCCGAATCAAGGTCCACAAGGTTGGGATACCCCACGCCATCTTTCTTGATCATTCAACTTTGCAGCGGAAGAGTAGCGTGGCCCGTCAATATGCTGGAGCTGGGGTGTGCGCGAAGGAAAAAAAGAAGCAGCTTTGCCTCCACAATGAGGGTAGTCGTCAAGTCGAGGAATGGCTTAGGGCGCGAGCTTTCATCAAAGACAAATGGGTCAGGGTTGTGTCGATCGAGCAAAGAGCAGTCTGCGTAGCTTTGACAAGCACGCAGCGTGTGATGACGATGATGATGATGATGAAGAAGAAGAAGAAGAAGAGAAGAGGGATGGGGATGCGTGTAGATGAGGATGCAAGTCAAGTGTCACGAATCGAAGCAAAGCGACGCGCAGACAGCAAAAGAAGTCATCATGAGGTTGAAGGGCAAGCAAGACGTGATCAAGACTCGATCGAGACTTTAGACGTGGACGCTGCTGTGACTGCATATACTGTATGCAGCCGCGCGCGCGGGATGTACGCCTCACTGTGACTATTTGGAAGAGCGCCTGCTGCGCGCCTCGCTCACGACTTGACTTGACTTGTGGGTGACTTGACTCTTGACGCTTGACTCTTGACTGGCGGTGGGGTGCGTTTCAGCGATCACAAATGATCACATTACAACCGCGCGTGTCATCATATGCGCCGATGCTGTGTGGTCTCGAGTAGCGGCAGCGGCAGCGGCAGTGGCAGCATCAAGCCGCCGTGCACATTCACGATTATTCAATTAGATTTGTTTGCGTGCCGTGCCTGCTTGCGTGCGTGCGGTAATGCATGCTTGCATGGGTTGGAGCGGCCAGCACGTCCCACCCATCAGCAGCAGTAAGCGCCCTGCTGCTGGAGGGGGGAAAGCTCGATCGATCATGCTCACGCCAGCTTCGCCCGCATAGGGTAGCGGTTACCGTACCGCTTGAAGATGTGCACCACACCACATATAAACAAGTCAAATTTCACACAATCTTTGTGGCATTTCCGTGAGGTTCGCGGCGGTGCAGGATGGCTCATCACTCGCAACAAACGGCACACTGCCGTCGCGAACACGTTGCAAGTGATCAAATGAGAATTCGTTGATCACTTCCGCTTC